TTTCGACTCATATGCGATCGCCAAAACATTACATTATATAGTTTATTTCTACTCCAATAATGCTCTATTGAAGGAAATGTACAAGGGCCCATTTGTAACAAAAGTGCAATAAAAACTTTCATTTCTGACACTGTTACATCTATCCACTGTGACGCCCTGTTAGATTTTTTTATCTTTTTAAGATTTGCAATTTCTTGCTTAGCGTATAAATTAGTTTGCTCAACCAATAATGCAAGAAACTCCTCCGAAAAAAATAAGTCTACCAGCGTTTGCACTGTAAGATTTGTCGTATCCAATTTAAAACCAACGTTTTCTTGGAAAATAAATAATTCAGGGTTTTGTGGAATTTCTGTCCACAAATTGTCACCCGTACTTGATGTGCTTGCTTCGGACACATCATTATTATCTTCAGTTTCGGAGACTACTTCATAATCACTGTCCATTGAATTTTCAGAAAATTCGGAATAGCTACTGTCGTTACTACCCTCGTCCAATTGTGAATCGCTGGGATTGTCGTAAAAATCAACTTGTTTTTCAGTCCGCCGTCGTTTCTTATCCATATTGAGATATTTATAATTAATTAATAATATTAATTATAAATAAAAATTATAAAGATACACACTCAAGAAAGACGTAAAAACGTAATGCACTCCACTATATCTGATTTTCTACTGACGAAGTTAGACGCATCAAGCGACAAGTCGAAACGTGTTTGGTATGTACGAATTAACTCGTAGTTTGCTTCTGCGAAGAGTTTTTTGTAACAGAAGCCAACTACGAGATAATTCGTATGATCGTTATTTTCTAAAAAACACATTCCCTACGCTTTTTGATTATTTATATTAACCCTAATTTAGAGTTTATAACAGTATAACATAATAAAATTAATTTGTCTTTTTGGACCGGAATCCTGAAAATTGTCGTGGCAGTCAACGTGTTAAACGACACAAAAGAATAATTATATCAATCGACTGGCAAACTATTATAACAATTTAATATGCGCAGGATAGGCAATTAGTATACGCATTAGACGCCGAAGGAGGTATTCCAAACAAAAAACTCGCGAGTGCGATATTGCGGGGCATTAAAACTAATTAAAGATAAGAGTTCTGGATTATCAATAAGCCCGGTAACCAGTTTATATAATAAACACAAGTCCCTCACAAATCTACGGCGAGGCAGAGAAATCAAACCGTACAAGCAACCGAGTACTCACAACAAGGTAAGTGAAATTTATGAGCTAGAAACCTAACAAAACGACGCTGAACCAACTCCAAACGGTCAATGTATATGTGATATATAGGATTCCAAACCACCGAGCAAAAAGATAGAATACTATTAACATATGCCATATAAGCAGATTTTAAGCAATCAAGATTTGAGAAGACATAGGTAGTTCTTAGAATAAACCCCAATTGTCTCATAGCTTTGAAAAAGATATACTCAATGTGATCTGAAAATAAGAGTTTTGAATCTAGCATCACACCAAGGTCTTTGATAGAAGTAACACATTTAATAGATTCAACACCAAGCAGATATGAAAAATCAATGTTATATCTTTTTCTGCTAAAAGAAATTTTGGAGCATTTTTCATAATTTAGAAGAAGTTTGTTCATAGAACAATAAGTGTTAAAACGATAAAGATCGCTTTGCAATTTAATACAGTCAGCAACTGTACGTATAGAGGAAAAAATTTTGCAATCATCCGCATATAATAAGAAACTGGAATGCATAAAACACGATCCAATGTCGTTAATGTAAATTACAAATAATAACGGGCCGAGATGGCTCCCCTGGGGTACTCCAGACGTAACAGCTCGAGATTTCGAAATACAGTCAAATAAACGAACTGCCTGCCTTCTATTCGAAATATATGATTTTAACAAAGCAATGATTGAACCAGGCAACGGGAAAGTTACTAGTTTGGAAATTAAGATATTATGATCGATCTTATCGAATGCTTTACTGAAGTCTGTGTAAATAGAATCAACTTGACAGTTATCATTAAGCGAATTTTGAATGAAATTAACATAAGTAATTAAATTAGATTCTACAGACCTATCAGGCAAAAAACCAAATTGTTCAACCATGAAAAAAGGTTTTAACGAAAAATAAATGTCTTTGTAAATAAGCTTTCAAAAATTTTTGAAAATAATGATAAATTAGAAATAGGGCGGTAATTATTGATCAAGTGTTTGTTACCAGATTTAAAAATAGGAATAATTACAGCACTTTTCCAAACGGTTGGAAAAACAGACTCAGCAATAGAGCTTAAAAAAATCAAAAAAAGTGGATTAGCAAGTTCTTCCGTACAAGCATTCAAAAAAATGCCCGGTAAACCATCCGGTCCCGGTGCCGAATTCACATTAATAGACTTCAGTAACTCTTTAATGTCAGTTTCATTAAACCAACACAAAACATCAACAATGTCCGAAAACAATTCAACAATGTCCGAGCCAGCGGAAGCAGAAACATCACCATACGACATGGGAACCGGCATACTGCCGCCGCTACCCCTTTTGTCACGAAAAAAGGACCATAACTGTTTCGGATTGTCAATAATATTTTCTTGCAAACTATTAATGTAATTTTGATAGTCAGCCCTAATGAGACTCATCGAACGTTTACGCAACAAAGAAAAAGACAAGTAATCCACTTGATTACCGTACTTTTTCCACCTTTTATGAAACTTAAATTTTTCCCTAATAACCTTAATGGTTGAGGGGGCATACCAATGCGGAAAACGCTTAGAATTCCCAATGGTTCTGTGAGGGACATGATGCCTAATCATCCGATTCAGATGTGAGTAGAATACCTCCAAAGCTTGGTTAACATTAAGATTAATAAAGGCGTCATTCCAGTCAAATGCACGGATATCAGCTTTGAGAGAAACGTAATCTGCCTTATTAAAAAGAATCTTTCAAGCAGACCATCATCAAACTTTACATTCGAACTGAACTCAAAACAAAAATCTATAGCTGGATGATGGTCATCAAGATTAACTAACGGATCAAAACAATTCTGAACGCAAAGCACAGCAAATCGATTACAAAGAATCAGATCCAACGCTCGACAGTTTGTATTAGAAATATTATTAAATTGTGAAAAATTACAATATGAAAATATGTCCAGAAAATCTTTTGTACGCACCGAATTATCCCCAGAGGGCAAGAGTATACCAGTAGAAGACTACGAGGATGACGTCATTCGGATTACGATCATTAATCATCTGCAGCTGTAGAAGAAAGCTATCGATCGCTGCAGTATCATTGGGAGGCAAGTAAACACAACACAACACGCGACACTTCACCACGGACGCACAACCATAAGTCCTCTGCACCCGTTGAAAACTCTGGCATTGGAGACACAGGAATACCCCCTTTGGCCGCCACAAGAACACCACCTCCATCGAGCTTGGTAGATAAAGAAGAAGATCTGTCACGACGATAGATAACACATCTATCGCAGAGAATCTCCCCACTAAGCACTGAGTCGTTCAAAAAGGTCTCCGTAAGAAGTATAAAATCGCTATTGATGCTGTGAGAATTAATAAAACATTTAGTGGTTTTCGTACGTAGACCACGGACGTTTTGGTAGTAAAAAGACCAGACCATACAAGATTAAGAGAAAATCAGCATAAAAAGGTCACATCTTAGAGTCTCAACAAATCAGCATGAGACTTTATAATCACCATCCTCGATCTGTCATCCTTGCGGGCATGAACAACGCAATTTTTAGTCCATATATATTTATAATTTTTATCACGACCCAGCTGTTTGGTCTTCTTAAAGAGATCCGCATTAAAAGCCGTAAGGTGCTCATTAATAAACAAATTGTCAGTCAGATTAAGAATCTTAATGCCCGTAGACGGATTGTCACTATTTTTACGGTATATCCTTGCACACGCCAAAAATCGGTCCCGTATAATACGAGATTTGAATTTTATAATTACATTTTTCACATGAGCACGTGAGGAATCGGAGTGATTTCTCGATGGCAATCTATGCACAACGTCAACATCAATGGACAATCAATCGCCTTCCCTATCTCCGAAACAATAGAGCATAAATCCTCATTATTTTTTTTTTTCAGGTATTCCAGACAAGGTCAAGTTATTAAGTCTGGAATACTGTTCAAGGTGCTCAATACGAGAATTCAGTTCGGTGACCGATTTTTTTAATTTAAGATTTTCAGCAACAATACCATCAATGGTCTTAACCTTCTCTCCAAACGACTTAAGTGTCTTATCGAAATCCGAAATCATGTCACCATAGAATGACACAGATTTAAGTATTTCTTCATATTTGGAATTTATACTTTTTACTTCCGACTGAATAGATTTTAATATTGATAACAACTGAGTGTTAGATGGAATGGAAGAGCCGGAAGAAGAGGACTGATCATCATCTATCACTATAGAAGCATTGGCGTCGTCGCGACAAGATGAACATTTCCAAAAAACTCCTTGAGTTTTATATTTCGTCAGATCGGCTCCCGGTATTCCAACACATTTCGCGTGATAAAATCCCTTACAGTCTCCAGAGCACTGAAGACCTGGCGCTCTCGACGTCAAACGCGCACTGCATGTAAGACAGTCACGGGACACAGCGATACAAATCCACGACCGGGAACAAAAAAAGCAGTCCGTACAGAAATACTCCCACGAAAACCGACTTCAATATCGAAAATTATATTCATTAAGGTGTAAATATCTTCCAAACTTCAAACTTCCACCCGAACATTAACTCAAAATGATCCGTATAGCAAATTTAAGCAGTTATAAAGGCAAAGAGAGAGTTAAAAACCTTGCACAAAATGAGCAATCTGTACAAGACAACCACTCACCACCGCGAACAGTACTCGAATGTGATTATGATACCATTCTTTTCAAATTTGTTGAATATTCCTTGTTTTTATGCTGGTTGAAAGATTTTCTTTAACAATCTTGTTTATTAAGGTTTTTTTTTCTATTTTCAACCAGAGAATACACTGGCGAAGAATACTGTACAATCATTGCGGGACACCTATATAGTAAATACATATCTTGCAGTTACCATAGTAACCGGGTGGCATCTATCACAACAAACAACATTACAATTTTATTGTCAAAGTCAAACATTTTTGCTTGTAATTTCAAGATATATTTTCTCGATGACTGAAGAAGTTAAAGATTCAGTGATACAAAAAACGCAAAAAGTTTTAGGAAAACATATCACAAAACCGAGCTTGACGCCAAAGTTGTTAAAAAAACCTCCGTTTCGGTTCTTACATGATATCGTTACGTCTGTAATAAAAGAAACTGCGTTTTTAAAAGGAGTATTTAATGAGGAGGAGATGGTTTCTGAGAATGTTAAAGAAAGGGAGGCGAAAATTGCGTTTTTAACGAAATTAACTAACGCCTTAGGTAAAAAAAAAATGCATAAGAGTATTCAATAAAAATGTTATTTCATGATTTTAGTTGCAATCAGCGGGAATGAAATTGATGTTAAGCCAGGAAAAATCGTAGCTGGATTAGAGCCGACGAAAACTAATAAGTTATTACAACTTTTAGGAAATTGTTTAGATAAAAAACTTAATAGTTCTGAATATGTAGCTAAACTCAACTCTGAATCTAAAGTAGAAAAGAAAAAAATTGTTGAGAGAACGAAAACATCTAAAGATTCAGTTGACTCAAGTAGAAAAACTGAAAAAACCTCAAAATCATTAAAACCAAAAGATAAAGTTTCGAAAATAAGCACCGATTCTATTAGAAAAGAAATTAAAACCAAAATTAATCAAAAAGATAAACCCAAAAAAGTAGTGAAAACAAAAGAAGAGGTTGAGGTTATTCCAAAAAGTAATTCTGCAACGAAAATAAATACACCCTCAAATTCTGAAATTATTTTAGATCAAAAAGTTGATATAAACGCAGAAATTTTCGATGAACCTAAAGAAGTAAGTTTAGAAAATCAAATTATTATTGATGACGTCAAAGAACCAGATCAACCCAAATCAGAAACGCCAATTCCACGTGAATCAACTGCTAAAATAAGACCAAAATCGGCAAGAATTCAACCAGCAATTATACAAAGCACAAAAAATGAATCAAAAGAATTAAACCCACCACATTCAACAACAAATCTTTTAAGACCACCTACTGTACGACCTATGAGTTCTCGCCCGGGAGCTCCACGTTTAAGACCGGAATCTGCACTACCAACAGATCAAATTATTCCATTAGGAAATATAAATTTAATTGTTGAGAATTTTAGTAATCAAGATGAAGAAGAAACTGTAGTGATTCAAAGTGTTCAACTTCCTGAGGATCAACCATCAGTTGAAGATGTTTTAAATATTCCTCAAGATAAAGGGCATTTAGTTGAACAAATTTTAGAGCAAATTAATGACGTAAATGATTTAGAACTGAAAAATAATAAAGATGAAGAAAAAGATTTAATATTAAATACTCATAGTAGGGATGCAACCCAAAAAGAGATTCATCAATTACAAAATTTGGTACAAACTTTAACGAAAGTTGCTAATCCTTTAGGAAAGTTGATGACTTATCTATATGAGGATTTGGATGGGATGCATTCGGAATTAATGATGTGGATAAATATGAAAAAACAAGCGTATGCTGAAATAAAAAAACAAAAGGAACAACATAACGCTTCTAATGCGGCCTTAAAACAACAATTAGAAGATGTTGAAGAAAATATTAAAAAGATTGAGTTTGAAATTGCATACGTACAATCGAATATTTTAAAAAACGATCACCGTATCAAACAATTACTAACCAGATAAAAAATTATTACACCTTTAAAATTACGTTTTTTTTTATTATTTTTCCACACATTATAAAAAATTAGATCCACATGTATCGTAGATGCGGCTAGTTTTTATTTAGGAGAACAATGTTGACTTAGAAAATATTCAATAACATTATATCCTTTTTTTTAAGAGGAAGAATTTATTTTTAATAGTAACTTAATAAATTGAAACACAAAAATTAGTAGTTGTCTCCTGTTTTAAAATCGAATTAATTATTATATTTTTTTTTGTTACTAATGAAGGCTAAAACAACTTCAAAAGCTCAAACAACGAAGTTTTCTTTTCATAACAGAACCATTTTTTTATTTGGCAAAGAAAAACCTCTACTTCTAATGTATCCTAGTTAAATCTTCAACCATTTTAACTAAATCATCCACTGTACAATCTTGTTTCATATTGCTTTCGTCTGTTATCTAGAATAAAAGTTTAAATTTGAGCTTAATCATTTATAATTTCAGTGTTAATTTCAATGATTAAGTATTATTTACTTGTAACCCTTCCGCAACTTCCTTCATTTTATCTGGAGACAAATCCAAAAAGCTCTCAATCAAATCTCCATCAATAAAGCCTTCGCAAGCTTCGGTTTTAATATCGGTATTAAACGATCTCCAATAAGAATGTTCAATTTTACCAACAGATTTGATTACGGTAGAAAGTTTATTTTGCAATTCCAATAAGAAATCGTAAAAATCTGTTGGGATTTGCGTCACCAAACCTGGAAACATTCAAACACATTTAAACACATAAAGGAAAAAGAAAACCTTAATTTACCAATAGCTCCTCCGACTGTACCAAAAAGAACACATCCAGAAGTAGGTGTGGATGTTTCGCCTAAATTTTGCATCACCAAAGACCCGTGTCTAAAACAATTAATCATATCACCAACGTGGAATTGTCCAACTTCTTGCATTTGGGCCCGTTCTTCGTCAGTAGGAGCAGCGCTATCTTTTTGACAAACGAAAATGTTATAAGAATTTTCGGCACCTCAGAAAATATCATCTAAAATTTCAATAGCTGTCATCCAATTTGGACTATAAAGTATCCAAAATAAGCACTGATTCTGTTAGAAAAGAAGTTAAAACCAAAGCAACTAAAATTAATCAAAAAGATAAACCTAAGAAAATAGTGAAAAGAAAAGAAGAGGTTGAGGTTATTCCAAAAAGTGATTCTGCAACAAAAATAAATACACCCTCAGATTCTGAAATTAATTATTTTNCAAAAAAAACCTCGTCAGCATCCCAAAATCTACGTTGGGTAAACCATCCCCAACATCACCAACGTGGAATTGTCCAACTTCTTGCATTTGGGCTCGTTCTTCGTCAGTAGGAGCAGCTCTGTCTTTTTGACAAACGAAAATGTTATAAGAATTTTCGGCACCTCAGAAAATATCATCTAAAATTTCAATAGCTGTTATCCAATTTGGATTATAAAGTATCGAAAATAAGCACTTATTCTGTTAGAAAAGAAGTTAAAACCAAAGCAACTAAAATTAATCAAAAAGATAAACCTAAGAAAATAGTGAAAAGAAAAGAAGAGGTTGAGGTTATTCCAAAAAGTGATTCTGCAACAAAAATAAATACACCCTCAGATTCTGAAATAAATTATTTTAGATCAAAAAGTTGATATAAACGCAGAAGTTTTTGATGAATCTAAAGAAGTAAGTTTAGAAAACCAAATTATTATTGATGATGTCAAAGAACCAGATCAACCTAAATCAGAAACGCCAATTCCACGTGAATCAACTGCCAAAATCTACAAGAATTCAACCAGCAATTATACCGTGCTGTTTTACTTATATGTTCTTATACATAAGTTATTAATCTATAAATTTGGGTTTCTTTAATTTTAAGAGACTTTTATTAAAAACTCAGGGTTTCGGGCAAGTTCAGGTTCAAAAGAATATTAATCAGGTTCTACAAAAAATTCATTTAATTAAACACAAAATCAAATTAACTCGTTATATGAGTAACAAAAAAAATATGGTTTTCCTAAATTTACTTTAATAACAATGCTTATTTACGAGAGATAAATTTTTAAATAAAATAGACTAACTGCGGTTATCGACTGAAATATCGATATTAGAGAGAACCCGTTTATTATTTGAGAGAGAGAGAGTAGGATAAAACTAGTTAGAACCGTGTAGTTATCTATGTTAGAACCGTTCTTTGAAAATAACAAATGGCCGATGTCTTAAGTTGTCATCAAACTCGTTAAAAAAAAATAGAATTAAATAAATGAACGTTATTCAAGAAAACTAATAAATCTTTACACACAAGTAAGTATTGATCAAAAATTATAGGAAACTCTTGTGAGTTGTTCTTTGAGTTTGATTCTTTGAATTTTCTTTTTGTAGGTTATGTTAAATAATAAAATAAAATTATCATCCGACTCACTGTGAAAAAGAAAGGATTGGAGTTCAATGTGGTATCTGGATTATGGATTGTCTCTTGTGTTCGGGGCACTAACTAATTTTCTGGATTCTTCTTACGGGAAATTGAACTGTTTGTTCTTCGGAAATAGGGTCTTGGATGATCTCGAAGAAGTATCGGTAGTTTTCGGAATAGGTTGTAGGATGATTCACTTTTTATTTTAATATTGTAAGTTGATTTGACTTTTTAAAAAAATTATCTTAAATTTTTGAGGTTATCTCTTGAGATTCAAAATTTCTTCTATCTGACGACGTGGATTCGACGCTGGTCCGACGACGACTCTCCCACTCCCTGTTCGCGATCTCCTTATATACCCCGGCACTCCAACTGTTTTTTCCTCGTTTCTGATTGGCTCTTAGCTTCGCGCCCTTTTCAAAATTCAAAATTCTTGCTTCGAAACTAGCGTCATCTCTTGATCTTTCTCAGAATTAACCTTCAAAATTAAATTCTTTTTTCGTTGATTTCTCCCTTATTCCTTTATGAAACGTAATAAAACTTCGTATTCAACGTTGTCTTTTCTCGTTTTTAGACATACATTGGAGTAGACGCCAAATTTCAACAATGAGTAAAGTTGGAAAAATTCAAATTTAAATCAATGATTTCTTCCTCAAAATAACGTTAAAACCTCAAACGATGGATGAAAAATGTGCTTTAGGAGCTGAACTATAATAATTGATACACTTGGAAGTAAACAAAACGGTTTAAGATAAGATTTTCACCAACAAAAAATCTCTGTCACAAATTCTAGGTTATGTTCTCTCGGTGAACTAAGAGAATGTTAAAATTATTACAATATATATATATAGGTGACGTCTTTTGAGGTCGGGGCTAACTGATCGTCTCTTTTCTTATTATGACTCTACCTCACTTATCTACATTTATTCTCTTTTTGAGAATAAACAGTGCGGGATGCAACCCAACATATACAGTTGCCGATTTTATACATATGGTTAGCAATATGGAGTAGTANAATGTTGACTTAGAAAATATTCAATAACATTATATCCTTTTTTTTAAGAGGAAGAATTTATTTTTAATAGTAACTTAATAAATTGAAACACAAAAATTAGTAGTTGTCTCCTGTTTTAAAATCGAATTAATTATTATATTTTTTTTGTTACTAATGAAGGCTAAAACAACTTCAAAAGCTCAAACAACGAAGTTTTCTTTTCATAACAGAACCATTTTTTTATTTGGCAAAGAAAAACCTCTACTTCTAATGTATCCTAGTTAAATCTTCAACCATTTTAACTAAATCATCCACTGTACAATCTTGTTTCATATTGCTTTCGTCTGTTATCTAGAATAAAAGTTTAAATTTGAGCTTAATCATTTATAATTTCAGTGTTAATTTCAATGATTAAGTATTATTTACTTGTAACCCTTCCGCAACTTCTTTCATTTTATCTGGAGATAAATCCAAAAAGCTCTCAATTAAATCTCCATCAATAAATCCTTCGCAAGCTTCGGTTTTAATATCGGTATTAAACGATCTCCAATAAGAATGTTCAATTTTACCAACAGATTTGATTACGGTAGAAAGTTTATTTTGCAATTCCAATAAGAAATCGTAAAAATCTGTTGGGATTTGCGTCACCAAACCTGGAAACATTCAAACACATTTAAACACATAAAGGAAAAAGAAAACCTTTATTTACCAATAGCTCCTCCGACTGTACCAAAAAGAACGCATCCAGAAGTAGGTGTGGATGTTTCGCCTAAATTTTGCATCACCAAAGACCCGTGTCTAAAACAATTAATCATATCACCAACGTGAAATTGTCCAACTTCTTGCATTTGGGCTCGTTCTTCGTCAGTAGGAGCAGCGCTATCTTTTTGACAAACGAAAATGTTATAAGAATTTTCGGCACCTAAGAAAACATCATCATCTAAAATTTCAATAGCTGTCATCCAATTTGGATTATAATCTCTTGCAATCTCTTCAAAATTCCCTTCCATCGTTTTGTATTGTAGAATAGTCATACTACGCATTAAATCACCGACCAATACGAAATCACCTTTCGTTTTACAAAATAATGAAATTATATGGTTAAAATGTGAACATTCCAATCGCAATTCTTTTTCAGCTGTCCATTCAAAAAGTCTCACCGTACTGTTTATACAAGTTAATAATTTTCCGTTAAAATCCGCTAAAGAATAACAAGACCCTTTGATATCTTTTTCAGAAATTAATGTTAATTTATTATCCGCCCACAGGAATAAAAGTAAACGACCTTGTTTTGGTTCGGCTTCTTCAGGGTTTACCAAAGCTGTACCAACAACATAATAAGTATTTGGATCTTCACCTAATTGACAAGAAATTAACGACATTGCGTATTCTTGATGCATAAATTGATGCGCATGTAAAACTTCAAATGTATGTTGATCAATAATTAATAAATTATGTACTTCAACTTCTTGCCCATATTCAGGTGTCGTATTTGTGTTACTTTGCGTACTACCGCTTGATTTACCTAACGATAACGAAGCAACACTACTTGATGCTGTTATTGATTGTGTCATTGTTGATGCACTGGGTCTTGCTGGATTCAAACCGGTTGAATCCTGTATATCCATCCTTACTGATAAAACACCAAACGTTTGTGATTGTTCTTGATACGCAATTCTTCTTGGAGATTCTTGTAAAGATACAGTTCTAATATGTAATTTTTGAATTTCATCAATAGTTCCAATAGTAACTGACGAATCTGTGGCTAAAGCTAAGCTGTCTGGATAAGCTTCAGCATTTAATGAACACATATGATTAACTTCCTTCATATTAACATTAGAAAAAACAAGTTTATGATTTGAGGAATAAATCACTGTGGGTCGATCAGAACATGCAAACACATTGGTTGTACTTAATGTCCTAAACGTTCTTAAAACGGTCGGTTGAGTACCCAATGTAACCTTTTTTTTGTCAGATAATGTTCCGTTTTCTTTGTTTAAGATAAAATAAAACATTGATCCATCTCCTAAAGCGCAAAGTAAATAGTTTTGACCTTCGAATTGAGTCATTAAAACTGAACGAGGTATGATCTCTCCGCCAAGATTTTCTTTCGTTGATTCTGATAAATCAGGAAGATGTAAAATTCTAGCTGATATATCTGTCCATAATCCAACAGCAACAAGATCGGTTCTTGTTGACCCATCTCCTAATGGACTTATATCTAAACAAGCAATTTCTACATCTAAAGTTGTTTCTCTACAATTATAAAAAAAATTAACAAAAAATTTAAGAAAAAAAACTTTTGTTACCCCTTTAAAATTAATTCATTTTCTTGAATTTCTATATAAAACAATTTTGATCCAGTTGACATAACAATTTGTTCGGCATTACAAGCAACCACACTTATATTTTTATCATTAGGAGGTTTCCACTCAGATAATAAATTTTTCGTTTGAGCAGAAACCAATCTTACAGAAACGGGAGTAACTTGTACGATTTGATCATGGATTACATTTCCGCAATAAAACGTTTGTTTATCAGAAACGAATCCTAAAATATCCGTTTCTTCAACGTCTTCCCCATTTAAACTAAGTACCCTAGTTTGTCCAACAAAAGCCAATACTAAAGTATTATCCAAATTATTTCCAGAGGCAATATTTAAAGCCCACATTCCTTTAATTCCAGGCAAATCGATAGTGGCGTGCTCTTGAATCCCTATTCCATTACGAATTATCCTTAATGATCCTTCTTTAAAACATCCAGAACACGTTACTAATTGACCTTGACCTTGTCTTTCAAGATCAACAACACACATGTCTAAAATCGGCGCAAGATTTGTAAAAGACTCCATTGGGGTAACATATGAACCGTGTTCATCAGGTTTTGTGTTTAACTTAATAAGTTGTGAATCGCCAAGTCGTGAACCAATAAATAATACACCATTGTCTAAGTATGTTATACATTCCGGTGTTGAAATTTCACCCAAAAGTTCTACTTTTAAATCTTTAACAGCTGATTCTCCACCTTCACGAGTTTCAACATCTAGGAAAAGCATAAACAAATGTCCCGCCATGTCTCCTAACAGATAACGAAGACCACCAGGGTCTACTTTTGCATAACATACAATTGTACTTTGCTATCAAAAAAATGAAATAAAAGGATAATTTTAAAGAAATTAAATAAAAAATTATTGGTATAATTCAAGAATCATCATGTCCCTTAAAAAATAAAAAAATTTTAAAAAAATGCGGAAAAGTGTAAATCTTACCACTTTAAAGTTTTGACGTCATCGTTTTTTGTGACGTCATCGTCCATGCTAAACATACAGGTAATTCAAATTCGACCCCCACCATTGGGATCTGAGAAACCATAAGAGATACAGAAATGGTTAATTGGGGGGAAAGTTGCGTATCTTAGACCTCATCATTTTTCAACTAAGTTTTTGGATCTAGTCGTTTTAGTTTTTAAAATATGGCCGAAAAACATAAAAATGACTTTTTCGTTTTTTGCCTATAACTTCTTTATTTTTCGTGAATCTAAAAAAACATTCTGAAGGCAACTTTTTATGAAAAATGTCATGAGACAACCAGAAATTTTCTCCGACGTTTCGTTTTCGTGAAACTATCATCAGGTTTATTTTTTCTTATGAACGCCATATTTGATTTTCACACCAAAAATAAGATAATTAATTCTGATTTCAATGATGTTACACAATGTATTTCATTAAAAAAAAACATTGAATTATTCTTGGCTGTAACTTGTGCGCTAAGTGTTTCCATAGAAACCAACAAACAATACTTATGAAGGTACGTTTTCGTAAGGACAAATCCGCCCGACATGTTTGTTGGCCAACAAGTTGTCAAAATTAACGTGTGTTTACGTAGTTACTTGTCGGCAACCGACATGTCGTGGAAACGATCTGAAAATCGACCTCTGCAGTTAGCATCAAGATGGCAGACGATCAAGTCGAACAAGTAGTGTCAGCATTAATTTTCTTTAATTCATTTTGATGCTATTTTTCGTGCTAATATAAAAAATTTTTGTAATTTTCATGTACAGTTTTCAACTGATGATGAGAGAACACTCTCGAAACTAGTTTTGAAATAAAATACTACAAGCAAGAGTGAAGTAAACTTTTTATTTTATTGAAATGACTTGCAACATGGATTCCCAACATAATATATGATCACAACACAAATTAACGACTGTTTACGTAGGGAGAAATGAACGGTGACCCGACATGTGCGGTTGATTTTTGTATCCGACACCGACATGTCATTTTACTGTCCCGACAAGAAATGCATTTCGTTTACGTTATAACCGACAAGTCGGCCGACATGTTGTGTCCTTACGAAAACAAGGCTTGAGGAATACTTCGAAAGCGACATTATTCTTTGTCATTAGAATTAAAATAATAGACTAATACTGATTTAAGATGGCTTTTACAAACTTTTGATTTTTTTGTTTTTCGAATATATTTTAAAAACTAAAACGGCTAGATCCAAAAACTTAGCTGAAAAATGATGAGCTCTAAGATACGCAACTTTGCCCCCATTTAACCATTTCTGTATCTTTTATGGTTTCTGAGATCCCAAAGGTGGGGGTCGAATTTGAATTACCCTGTATATGTATTTTCGCACCACATTTGGTTAAAACGCATATTTTCGGGTGAAATACGGTTGTTTCTTAGGTTTTCGACGTACAATGACTAAAATATCGTTAATAACCTAAAATCTATATCTGATGCCCCACCCCCTCTTTAAACGTTACACTCGAATCCACACAATTTACTGATTTATTTCAAAATTTTGTGTAGAACTTCCACTTTGAGTTAGGTTTATTACCATTTAAATCAGTGCGAATTTCTCAAATGTTGGGTTGGCCATAGAGCAGAGAGTGGGTTGTAAATTCCGGGTTAGGTTAAACCTGAATGTATAGTAGACGCCAGGAGAGCTGGCAGTAAATCATCGTTTTCCGCTCTTACAAATGCCATACGTAGTTCATAAACCGCTAGAGAGTAATGTGTGTTAGAACGAGATAGCATTAGTTTAATATGTCTGCTGTACAATTCAAATGGCCACGTCGAAAAAGTACATCTGTTCTTCTAAGGGGGATGTAACTCTATAATTATAACCTCGAATCGAAACGTCTTGTGAGCGTTGTCATGAATCTGTTAGTGTTCTCACAAGCCGAAAATGTTTTCTTTGAACTAGAACTTTCGGGTTTAGCCGTCTTAAGAGACGTGCGGCTAAACCCGAACGATTCTAGTTCTAGGTGTAGTGTTAGTTCTAGTTTTGCACCAGAATTGATACAAGACCTAGAACTAGAATCATTTGGGTTTAGCCGTCTTGAGAGACATGCGACTAAACCCGAATGTTTTTAGTTCTAGGTCTAGTGTTAGTTCTAGTTTTACACTAGCACTATCACTAGAACTAACACAAGACCTAGAACTAGAATCATTCGGGTTTTGGCCGTCTTGAGAAACGTGCGGCTAAACCCGAATGTTTCTAGTTCTAGGTCTAGTGTTAGTTCTAGTTTTACACTAGCACTATCACTAGAGCTAATACAAGACCTAGAACTAGAATCATTCGGGTTTAGCCGTCTTAAGAGACGTGCGGCTAAACCCGAACGTTTCTAGTTCTAGGTCTAGTGTTAGTTCTAGTTTTGCACCAGAATTAATACACCACCTAGAACTAGAATCATTCGGGTATAGCCGTCTTGAGAGACGTGCGGCTAAATCCGAATGTTTCTAGTTCTAGGTCTAGTGTTAGTTCTAGTTTTACACTAGCACTATCACTAGAACAAACATAAGACCTAGAACTAGAATCATTCGGGTTTTGCCGTCTTGAGAGACGTGCGGCTAAACCCGAATGTTTCTAGTTCTAAGTGTAGTGTTATAGTTTTACACTAGCACTATCACTAGAACTAACACAAGACCTAGAACTAGAATCTTCGGGTTTTGCCGTCTTGAGGGACGTGCGGCTAAACCCGAATATTTCTAGGTCTAGTGTTAGTTCTAGTTTTACACTAGCACTATCACTAGAACTAACACAAGACCTAGAACTAGAATCATTCGGGTTTAGCCATCTTAAGAGACGTGCGGCTAAACCCGAACGTTTCTAGTTCTAGGTCTAGTGTTAGTTCTAGTTTTGCACCAGAATTAATACAAGACCTAGAACTAGAATCATTCGGGTTTAGCCGTCTTGAGAGACGTGCAGCTAAACCCGAATATTTCTAGTTCTAGGTCTAGTGTTAGTTCTAGTTATAATGCTAGTGTAAAACTAGAACGAACACTAGACCTAGAATCATTCGGGTTTAGTCGCCTTGAGAGAGATGCGGCTAAATCCGAATGTTTTTAGTTTTAGTTCTAGTATTAACACAGACTCTATTAACAGACAGTCTATCTCACGACAGGTAATCAGTCGTTATGCATCGAAAGCCTAAGAAAAGCAAGGGTGTTTCATTCGTAAATATGCGTTGTAATTTCACCTAGTTTAGTGAAAATAACTTTACTTTTAAGTTTATCAGATTGATTTTCTGCGTGGCTATAAAATAAATTATTTGTAGGTTAGGTGTTGACCAGTTTAATAGGAAAATGCATGGTTAACATTGCTTGTGACGTCACAAAACGTGACGTCACATTATGTGATTTTTCAGTACATTTTACACTTTTCAGCACTTTCTTTTTATTTTTAACTTGATTTTTTTTTGGTCATTTCACATTGATTAAAAAAAATCGTCGATTTTAAGCCACATAATGATTCTTGAATTTTTCCAAATTACTTACTTTTATTATTGGTGGAGCTACAACCACTGAAGTATTTCCATTGTGATATAAAATGCTCTCCTGTCCAATTATAATAGCACCACATAAAGGAGATGGTACAGGAATTAACATGGATGCTTNTGAGCAATTTCTCTTATTTTGGGAGGTGTACATGAAACATTTTGTGTTTTGACAGTTTCTAATTGTCAATTCAAATTTCTATTTTCAAGTGTTACGGTGTTACCAACTGCTGCATACCTATTTCCCTACATTGTCAAAATTTATTTTATTTTTGTTAAAAAAAAAGGATAAAAACGCGAATTACAAAAATATCATAAAAAACACGTTTCATAAGACTTAAAGCACTTTATTAAAGCTCATTAAAAAACTGGTGGCTTCGCCACTCGTTTTTCAACTTGAATTCGTGCATTTCAAGCGTGTCTTAAGAAACTTAGTTTTTAATACACTATTTCGCAACACATTTGGTTAAAACGCATATTTTCGGGTGAAATACAGTTGTTTCGTATGTTTTCGACGCACAATGACTAAAATATCGTTAATAACCTAAAATCTATATCTGATGCCCCACCCCCCTCTTTAAACGTTACACTCGAATCCACCTAATTGACTGATTTATTTCAGAATTTTGTGTAGAACTTTTACTTTGAGTTAGGTTAATTAACATTTAAACCATTGCGAATTTCTCAAATGTTGGGTTGGCCATAGAGCAGAGAATGGGTTGTAAATTCCGGGTTAGGTTAAACCCGAATGATTTTAGTTCTAGGTCTTGTAGTAATTCTGGTGCAAAACTAGAACTAGAAACGTTCGGGTTTAGCCGCACGTCTCTCAAGACGGCTAAACTCTAGTGTTAGTTCTAGTTTTACACTAGCACTATCACTAGAACGAACACAAGACCTAGAACTAGAATCAATCGGGTTTAGCCGTCTTGAGAGACGTGTGGCTAAACCCGAATGTTTCTAGTTCTAGTGTTAGTTCTAGTTTTACACTAGCCTATCACTAGAACTAACACAAAACCTAGAACTAGAATCATTCGGGTTTAGCCGTTTTGAAAGACGTGCGGCTAAACCTGAATATTTCTAGGTATAGTGTTAGTTCTGTTTTTGCACCAGAACTAACACAAGACCTAGAACTAGAATCATTCGGGTTTAGCAGTCTTGAAAGACGTGCGGCTAAAGCCGAATGTTTCTAGTTCTCGGTCTAGTGTTAGTTCTAGTTTTATACTAGCACTATCACTAGAACTAACACAAGACCTAGAACTAGAATCATTCGGGTTTAGCCGTCTTGAGAGACGTGCGGCTAAACCCGAATATTTCTAGTTCTAGGTCTACTATCCGTGCAAAAAGTCAAGGCCCACTTCAGTGATCGATATCTTCGCAACCGATTTTTGAGAGTGCCAGCAAGTTTGTCTACTTTGCGATTTGTTTTCTCCAAAACTATTTGACGAAAAAATTTCAATTTTGAACAGGTGGTAGCCTGATGTATTCTTAATGAGTGGTATATTTTACAGGTATACAGTTACGCGGAAAATCGCGGTTTAGTAAGACACCGTTATGTCGAAAACGGCTGGGTGGATATGTCAAATATGTCAATGTATGTCAAATAATGTCGGTTGTCGGATTCCGTTATCACTTTTTCAAAATTAGAGCTCCCTAATTTTTTAAGAGCGATTTAATGGAATTAAAAATTAAAGAGAAACAGAAATAAGCTCTGCGGGATGACGGGGGTTCCGTCCAATCGGAACAGATGGTGCGTCTCAGACAGAACGTCGCGCTTTATTTCTTTATGTAGGGAAGATAAAGGTGCGACGTACTGTGTGGGACGCACCATCTGTTCCGATTGGACGGAACCCTCCTCTCCCCACATAGCTTATTTCTGTTTCTCTGTAATTTGTAATTCCATTAAATCGCTCTTAAAAAATTAGGGAGTCCGACAACCGACATTATTTGGCATATTTTGATAAAAACCGCGTTGAAATCCGCCAGGTCGTTTTCGAAATAACCGCATCCTACTAAACCGCGATTTTCCACGAAACTAAAAGGAATATCGAAAAAATAAAATATGCGACACATTAAGAACACATCGGTTTACCACCAGTTCAAATTTGAATTTTTTCGTCAAATAGTTTTGGAGAAAAAAAATCGCAAAGTAGACAAAGTTGCTGGCACTCTCAAAAATCGGGTACTTTTTTTAGTTAACTCGCGATAAAAGAAAAACAGCGGACCCGAAAATTTTCAAATTAACATATGATACACAGAAAAGTTCACTGATTACAATAAACTTTACCACAATTTTTTCCATCAAGCAGTTGCGAAAATATCGATCTCTAAAGTGAGGGGCCTTGACTTTTTGCACAGATTTAGTGAAAATAACTTTACTTTTAAGTTTATCAGATTGATTTTCCGCGTGGCTATAAAATAAATAATTTGTAGGTTAGGTGTTGACCGGTTTAATACGAAAATGCATGGTTAACATTGCTTGTGACGTCACGTTTTGTGACATCATGTGATTTTTCAGTATATTTTACACCTTTCAGCAATCTCTTTTTATTTTTACTTGATTTTTTTTGGTCAATTCACATTGATTAAAAAAATCGTCGATTTTAAACCACATAATGATTCTTGAATTTTTCCAAATTACTTACTTTTATTATTGGTGGAGCTACAACCACTGAAGTATTTCCATTATGATATAAAATGCTCTCCTGTCCAATTATAATAGCACCACATAAAGGAGATGGTACAGGAATTAACATGGATGCTTCTGTTTCAACATTATCTTGTTTCCAAGGGGTTTTTATAATTTCTTTATCACGTAATGATATCTCATAAGTTTTAACATGGCGACCATTTAAATCTTGATGTATTAAAATTATTGTTGGATTAACACAACTGTGTAAAAACTCTATATCATGTACTTGTAATTCATCCATTCTAAAATATTACAAAGCATTAATAAATTTTTAAAACTAACACATTGACTAGCAATTAGTGAAAATACACCATTCAGTCAATGTGTTAACATTAAAAAAGAATATTAACCGAATGCTGGATGCTTTCAATTCATTATTATCTTTTTCTAAAGGTATAATTTTGAATAGCCCATCATACAGCCTCAACCCAATAACCCTTGCTTTAGGATCAATAACAGCTAAAATACCATTTTCGGATGGTTTACCAATTCGATCGGAAACATTTCCATGAGCTTTCGTAAGAATCTCCAAATTATCACCATCGTTAATACATTCCAATATCATAGCATTATATCTAATCGTAATAACAAATAAGAGATCTTTCTTTTCGTGCTAAAATCAAATCCAAAATCGTTCTTAATCCAAGTTATGACACAACCTGCCAAAAAAATACCTGTGGTCTAAACAGTTTCATAACAGCGACTTTTCCATACAAAGAAACCTCCTTAACAGGCCTCAACCCTTCCGGGGTGACCAAATAGATTTCTAAGCGTGTGTTTTTTGCAACGATTAGATTTAAATCGGTGGGTGAGGTGAAATTTCCTGAAATTAAAAGTGAGGTTATGTAAACGTGAAAGCATTTTCGGATGATTTTAGGGGGTTAATTACCGGTTACGCATGCTGTAACGGCAGTCGGCTTGTGTGCCGTCACCACGTAATTGTGTATCATAGTTTTCATCACCCTATTCTTTTTGTAAATTTCCAAATTGACGGATTATGTGAAATGTTTTCCGTCAACAAAACCGCTCATTACGGTTACAAGTGAAGTTAGATGCAATTAGCGGCTGATATTCTAGGCACAGAATAACCAGAAAGGACAGCCGTGTTTTTTTGGGGTATTTATTTAAAATAAAAATATTCATGTAGGAGTTTTATGACAAAAGTTAATTTAAATAAAGATTTTTTTAAATTATAAATACCTATATTTATTAATGCAATATTCAAATCTGAGTTTGTTACATCATTCCCAGTTGAACAGACTATTTTTATATTTCTAATGAAGGTCTTATTTCGTTTAATAAGTCCTCTTCTCCTTTATAGGTTTTTTAATTTAAAATATCAAAAATTTATTAAATTTTTCAATAAATTCAATACTTCGAATGCAAACCACTTGCCACAGTGTTGCTAATAACCTGGTCAGCAAGTTTTACATTCATTTTTTGAATGTAAATTCTCTCTATTTTAAATTCCAGAATGTTTTTTCCCATCAAACACAAAATGGGGCATTAATAAATTATTTCTGCCTACTTTTAAGAGAATTTTTACTGAAAATAAAAAGTATTTCTTGCCTATTTAATAAAATATAAAATTTTCTGGGAGTTACATCAAAATTGTTGTGTGCTTGAATAAAATTACTTCCCATGTCAGTTACAATACATCTTTTTGTGGGCTAAATTATTAACCCATACTATTATTCTCTCTTGAAGCAAAGTTGCTAAGCAAGATTTTACAAAAAATATTCTACAGGAAGTTATTGACGTTGATTACAGGTGATTTCAACTTTAACAGTATAGTTTTTAGAAGGGTCTTTTTATATTGTAACATTTCTTGCATATAAAACTGATAGAAACGCATAATAGCTGCATTTTAGAATTTAAGTTTGTTGTTATAAAAGTGAGGTTATAAAATATAGGAAACTTTAGTTTTCTACCCTGCGAATCACAGATGGCGCCACATGGAGTAAATTTTAAGTTAATTTAATTTGTTTAAATATTTAATCAGTTATAATAAAGAATTTGTTTATTGTTCGTGGAGTATATTTAAGGTAAGAATTAAGGAGGGTTTTAGTTTGCATTCGATTTTTATTTTATAAACCATTCGTGTGAATTTGGCAACAAATTAAAATAAGGAATATAAAGATGGGTTTAAAAAAATTCGTTGTTGTATTGGTGAGTAAATCTTATTTAAAATTAATTTTAAATTAATTTTATTTCATTGCAGGTTTTGTTTAATTCTTTTTCGAGTAACGTCGCATATCCACTACAAATTTTCGACAAAGGTTGTAATCCAACAGGGGTTTTATGCAAAAGCTCAACTACTTACACTTTTTGCTCCACAATTGGAAATCAAGCCTTATATATTATTTTGAATGAGTTTTCTTGCCCTGAAGGCTATTTTTGTAATGAAAATGTTAATTTCCCGTAAATTAATCTTTATTTGTTGTTTTTAATTCTATCTAAATGGAATATTTTTAGTTGTATTTTAGGTGAACAAACAACTCAAGCAATAATAACCGAAATTACAACAGAATTAAGCGAAATAACAACTGATATAACACAATTGGACGAAATTACATCAACTGATGTAATTGTAACAGATACAACAGACACAACTGAAAATGAAGAAATGACAGAAAATGTTTCAGAAAATGTTACAGAAAATGTTACAGAAATTGTTACTACTGAATTTGTTACTACTTCATCTACAACAAGTAATTTAATTACAAAAAATACTTTGTATAAAATTATTTCTTTAATTTTTCTTTTAGAAAAACCATTTTTACCACCAAATTGTATTGCAAAAGGATTTCATCCCGGACCAAATTGTTCTCAATATTACGAATGTGTTTCAGAGTATTTTTGGAGTTACAAGGCGGTTTTAAGAAGTTGTGATGATGGATTGTATTTTAATTCAAACACGAAAACTTGTGTCGAGCCATCAATAAGTGCCTGCGTCGACTAATTTTATTAATTGTACCCTTTTTACGCCTCTTAATCAATATTTATTTTATCCATATTGTATAATACATTATTCCCATTTTAAATATTGACACTAAATAACGCTCTGTTTAGCTTGTACTTGTATAAACATAATTTCCTTTCAAATAGATATTTTTCGATCAACTCCAACTTTGTCCGTTTGTATAAAGATAAAGAAATAAAACAAGAAAATTGTAAGTGTAAGCCTTGTAACCTGTTGATAGCCGTTAGCGTTTCTTAGATAACAGGGTCCCCATTTGCCGTTTGCATCGCGAATTCCTGAAATATTACTCGGGCAATTTATCGACGGGATCTGGCAAAGGACGTGAACAGCATAAATGCGAACCTCGATATGGTAACAGCTGTTGTTGCCGTCAAATCCTATCTGGTTTATGTATCTATTGTTTCATCGAGTATTAAGACCAACACACTTCCATTGTATACGCTTGTTATGGTCAATGTTATCTCTTTTTAACATTTCGAACTATTAACTTGTAATTTATAATAGTTAATAATATTAAATACTTTGGTTCTGTGACAGATGGATTATTTTTTGACATACTTGTTTGTCTGTTTATGTATGCAATATACCCAAGCTATAAATAATTCAATGAAACAAAATATACTACGATATTATCTGATTTAGATGTTAATTTAGAGATTATAGAGGATTATCTTATGGTAATAAGTACTTCTAATATATCTGGTATATACATTTTCCTCCAAGCTAGATCTAAAAACACACTTGTCATTCATGTTCCTTGTGCGGCACATTCTTTAAATTTAATTGGAGAATCTGCGGCGGGATGTTGTTTACAAGCAATCAAATTAAATTAATCCAGAAAAAAATAAATGACACAATTTTAAGGTTGCTTTTAATACAGTTTATGAATATAATTTTCAAAAACCTTTCAGAAAAATTGTAGCTCAGAGACGACCAGAATTAATGTAACAATTATTTATTTCTTCTGATTTGTATGTTTTAACTGTGATATATGAAATGTGTTCTTCAAAATAACTGTGACAAATCTTGGTGAACGTGTATCGAGGATTTTATTTTTCTTAATTGTTGAAGTAGAAAGACGGTTATACGCTGTTTGTGAGTTTAAACTATTGCCCTCTTCGAGTAGATACGGACATACTCCTGCTACCCGATTGGAGAGGACAGAATATGTAAATTCAACATGCAAATGTGCCTCTAATCTCACATTCAGACCTTTACCGTTAAACGCGTTGTTTATTGATGTTCCTTCGAAAGCTTAAAGTGACGACGATCGACGTTCCAATGACATTGACGTTGTTTACCATCTTAATTTTTTTTTTATATAATTTAAAAAATATTGTGTTTTTAAACAATATTTGTTTGTTTTACTATTTTTTTGATTTACAATTAATTTCGCATCAAAAAACATCCTAATCTAAACTAAATATGTACACATTCTCGTTTATCTTTATTATTTTCAAAGATAATTAAAACCTTAAACCTTTAATTAAATTAAAACAAATACGGTATACAAAATACAAACAAAACCACTTTGAACGTTAACTTTACGCAAAAAATGACTCGAAGAACTGTTAAGTTTCAGCTTTATGGTTCGGGTTTTAGGTTTTTTAGTCGCATTTTGAGTACCATTAAAGAGCACAAACCATTTAAAATACATATAAACTTTGAGTACGTTTACCGAAAGTTTTTAATTAATGGCCTTTAATTTCGAAATGAAAGGACCACAAGCCATAACGGCGTCATTGTGAGTCGACCGGCGGAATGCGAAAACTACAGCATAATAATGACATAATGGGGAGTATGGTGTCAAAAGAAAAGAAAATGAGACGAAGACTTATGTTGTTCGGAAACGAGAAGTGAATGCGTCATCATTACCACACAAGAAAAAAATAATGCGGTTATATTTCATTTACAAATTTTTTTATCTAGCTCTTAGGATAGATATGAAATTATGGATTAAATAAAAATCGTTTTTTTGAATTTGTTTAGATAGATATGAAGATTATTTACTTTTTTATAAATTTAATTATTGAATAAATTTAATGAGTGCGTAGTTTGAACATAAATTCTCAACATTTTAAATAAAAAAAAACCACCAGTGTGAAGTTACCCATAAATTCCATCCATAAAAAAAACTTTTTTGTTTGTGTATCGATTTTAATGATTAATAGGTCATTAGAAAGATCTCGTGGAGTAGAGCCTGAGAATGCGTATACTGTCTTCTACACAAAAGTGAATTTTAGTCGTCGTTAAATCATATGGGTAATTAGAAAAGTGCCAGGCGGTTCTTTGAAAAGCAAAATCATATCCATAAGTATAACTTTTTTGTTTATGGTCCGATTTAAGTTTGTGGAATACCTTTTTGGAAAGGGTTCGTCCTGTAGATCATGTCATAGTAATGGCGGCGCGGAATTCTAGCAATAACGGTAATTAAACGATTAAAAAGGTTATAAACAATCATATCCATAAATATAACGTTTTTGTTAATTGTCTGTAACTAACTAATAACTAATAAATATAACTTAATACGAGATGTGTAATAAACGAAAAGTCAAACAAAGTTCCAGAAGAGAGTTGAGCGAAACGCGATCCATTAACATACAATTCACAGTATGAAAATAGGACCTTTAACAACAACCAGGAACATTTAAAACAAATTTCCAAAACTAGATTATCCTTTACAAGCAGATTGATACAATTGTGGAGTTCTTGTCTGTCATTTGATTGACTGTATATTATCAAATAAACCATTTAAATCATTAAATTCAGATTCACACAGAAACAGCATTATTGAAACTTTATTAAAAAAAACTCCGACTCATTAAAGGAAAAATGTCTCAGAGACATGAGGTTCATAATGAATTCAAATACAAGCAATGCTCGTAGATGGCCCATGATACCTGCAAAAATAGTTTGGACTAGCGGTTTGAATTTTGTAGACAACGATCTTAAACTGTAATGGGGCCGTTACACATTCTTTTTTCTATTGGCTTATTCGATATTTTAGCAAAATTGAAGACTTCTATTAATTTTGTATTTTTCAAACAGGGCAAAAAAGACTTTGGATACGTCACCGTCGTTTCGCACGCGGTTGGTTGAAATAAAAATCAATAAAAGGTGCATGAGCGAGATGCCACGAGAATTTTATGCGCTAGAAGAAGAGATCCGAACGATTCACGTTTTGTCTGATCTTCTTGATCTTACGTGAAAACCTCGTAAACGTCACCAAAGCTGTTATACAGGGAATTTTGAATTTTAATATTAATTATTGCAAAAATTAAACATTTGTAGAATCTGAAAATGTTACCAATCCTTCTATTTTTACATACTTTATTGATTTTTTGAAAGACTGCCTTTCTATTTGATTGAGGGTAACGGCCCTGTACGGTACAATAAAAATGTGCCATCAATTTTTATATACAATTTAATGTAGCAACTAAATGTAACTACCCTGTTTTTCCGTTAGAAGCCGCGGTTTCGTATGAAAAAAAAAGTGGTTTTAAAGTGCGGCTTATAAAAGGTTGAAATGTTATTCATTTTAAAAATGTTTTTCTGATCGGTTTTCTTTGACGGCTAGAATTTAAATATCAAAATATAGCAAATAGTTGCAAAACATTTCAAAAATAGTACTTTTTTATTTTTAATAAAATTTTATTTACGTAGATATCTAGGTAATTAAAAAAACCCAAATATATTTTAATGAAACAATATAATATATTCTACATTAAAACAAAAGATATATTCTATGAGAAGTAAAACAAATTATGTACCTACTACTATGTGTAGATAGATAACAACTGTTCTATGAGATCATAAAATCCATGTCTTCTTCATGACCTGGTCCATCCGAATCGAAGC